CTTAAGCGATCCACCCGCCTCGGCCTCGCAGAGTGCTAGGATTACAGGCGTGAGCCACCGCGCCGGCCTCAAAATAGATTTTTAAAAAAATCAAGATGTTAAAGTTTACTAAAACATATTAGCAAGACAGAAATTTTGAGTTAAAAAATTTGAAGATGAGATGTTTAAATTATACTAGTACTAAGAATTAGCATTCATCTGGAGATGGATGATGGCGATGGTTGCACAACAATGTAAATGTACTTAATGTCACTGAAGTGTACACTTAGAAATAGTTAAAATCTATACCGGAGGCTAAGGCAGGAGGATCCCTTGAGCCCAGGAGTTTGAGGCCAGCCTGGGCAATATAGTGAGACCTCATCTCAAAAAACAAAAAGATTAAAATGGTAAATTTCATATTATATATATTAAGGTAAATTTCATGTTATATGTATTTTACCACATACCCCCCCACACACAAAGAATTAGCATCCATATGCAGGGAGAAAAAGATAGCACAGTGGTTCTATTTATTCTACTTATATGATAAAGGATGCTGAATGAAGGAAGAGGACCTATGCCTTGATTCTGGTTACATTTACATGAATCTGTGTTCCTCCAAAGAGCTGAAAAATTCTTCTTTAGATACTTAGATACTCAAAGAGAGAATTATGTATTAAGAAAAGATAACGACTAAAGTGAAATGTGATAGCATTTGTTCAAGAAAATTTTTTACTCAATAACTGAAATGTAAGTATTTACTATCAATTAAACTGGAAATTATATTTCTTTGCTCTATAATCATAGTAAAGTGACCTACTAACTAGGTCAGAGAACTTATCACTTACCTGATAATCCTTAGGTATAAAGTTATCAATAATAAGCATCTGAAGTCGAAGCTCCCGGCTAAGTTGCCGAATGTTCTCCAGAAGGCCTTCAATTTCCCTCTGATGTTCTTGTTGGAGATCAGCCATCTACCAGAAAATCCATGAAAATACTATGAACAAACAAGATTCTAAACACAAAACAGTTCCGTCTCACACAGGGCACTGGTCTAAGAGGCCTTGTGAGAGCTTACCCAGTTCTTTCGCAAAAATAATGGACAGAGTGACCCTAGCACCATTTAGTCCACGTCATTAGCTAAGGTTGGAAAGAAATGACTTAGCCAACAGATAAAGTTAAAAATTGTACATAAAGGAGAAATATTATTTCTTTAAAATTACAAGCACACACTATAATTACTACGGATTCTTAATCAATTTTTTTTTTTTTACGACAGAGTCTCGCTCTGTCGCCCTGGGTAGAGTGCAGTGGCATCATCATAGCTCACAGCAACCTCAAACTTCTGGGCTCAAGAGATCCTCCTGTCACAGCCTCCCAAGCATCTGGGACTACAGGTGCACACCACAACACCCGGCTAATTTTTTCTATTTTTAGTAGAGACGGAGTCTCACTCTTGCTCAGGCTGGTCTTGTTCTCCTGAGCTCAAGGGATCCTCCCACCTCAGCCTCCCAGAGTGCTAGGATTATAGGCATGAGCCACTGTGCCCCGCCAGTCTTAATCAATCTTAATCAAAGGAATTCCTTTTTAAAAAATTTAGAACTACATTAGTATATAATTTTTAAAAGACCAACCTCTGACTTGGCAGCCATAAGCATAGTCCAAACTTTCTTTAATTTCTTGGTCTTTCCCTGTGCCTCCTCTTGCAAACTGGTATATTTTTCTTCAATATCTAAGCGTTCTTGCTATGATGAAAATTAGTAAACTTCAGAATAACTTTCTTCATTAAATCACAAATTTAATTATTTAACACGGTATAACACATAAGTTTAGCCACTTATCTTCAAAGCAATCCATAAATCTGCTTTAAAATTTCATCAAGATTATAGATACTTAGCTTTTCCCTAGAAAAGTTAAATATCCTAGGCAAAATATTAAACTAAAAACAAAAAGTCATATTACTTCTTTTTCCTCAAGTTCTCTGCGAAGTTGCTCTGCTCTTTTCCTTCTTTCTTCCAGTTCCATATTAGATTCTTCAAGAAGTTTCTCTTGTTCTTCAGCTTTGGCCAACAAATCGACACCACCAACAATTACCTTCTTCTCCAGAGCAGATAATTTTTCTAGCAAAGACTGATGTTCTTGTCTGTTAATTAAAATGAGAATACCCTACATTCACTGATCATCTACTCTTCTACTAATATCATTTCCCCAAATTTAACAAGAGTTTGGATGTACAATTTCAAAACAGAAATATAATTATGTAACATCTCTACCAGACTATACCACTGTGTAGTATTAATTAATGATTTAATCTATAACTAATTCAAATTCACCATTTTTAACAATATTTTTTCCTCCCATACAAAGATGAAATAATCAAAACAGATTTGATTTTTTTTTTTTTTTTGAGACAGAGTCTCACTCTGTTGCCCGGGCTAGAGTGAATGCCATGGCGTCAGCCTAGCTCACAGCAACTTCACACTCTTGGGCTC